GACTGTAAGTTTGTTTGTTACTTCGATTCCATAAAAAAATCATTGTGGCTTCAACTTTTGGGAGACCTCCGATCTAGCTGGGCTGCATTAGTAACTTATCCTCAGGTGGACTGTAAGTTTGTTTGTTACTTCGATTCCATAAAAAAAATCATTGTGGCTTCAACTTTTGGAGACCTCCGATCTAGCTGGGCTGCATTAGTAACTTATCCTCAGGTGGACTGTAAGTTTGTTTGTTACTTCGATTCCATAAAAAAAATCATTATGGCTTCAACTTTTGGAGACCTCCGATCTAGCTGGGCTGCATTAGTAACTTATCCTCAGGTGGACTGTAAGTTTGTTTGTTACTTCGATTCCATAAAAAAATCATTGTGGCTTCAACTTTTGGAGACCTCCGATCTAGCTGGGCTGCATTAGTAACTTATCCTCAGGTGGACTGTAAGTTTGTTTGTTACTTCGATTCCATAAAAAAATCATTGTGGCTTCAACTTTTGGAGACCTCCGATCTAGCTGGGCTGCATTAGTAACTTATCCTCAGGTGGACTGTAAGTTTGTTTGTTACTTCGATTCCATAAAAAAATCATTGTGGTTTCAACTTTTGGAGACCTCCGATCTAGCTGGGCTGCATTAGTAACTTATCCTCAGGTGGACTGTAAGTTTGTTTGTTACTTCGATTCCATAAAAAAATCATTGTGGCTTCAACTTTTGGAGACCTCCGATCTAGCTGGGCTGCATTAGTAACTTATCCTCAGGTGGACTGTAAGTTTGTTTGTTACTTCGATTCCATAAAAAAATCATTGTGGTTTCAACTTTTGGAGACCTCCGATCTAGCTGGGCTGCATTAGTAACTTATCCTCAGGTGGACTGTAAGTTTGTTTGTTACTTCGATTCCATAAAAAAAATCATTGTGGCTTCAACTTTTGGAGACCTCCGATCTAGCTGGGCTGCATTAGTAACTTATCCTCAGGTGGACTGTAAGTTTGTTTGTTACTTCGATTCCATAAAAAAATCATTGTGGCTTCAACTTTTGGAGACCTCCGATCTAGCTGGGCTGCATTAGTAACTTATCCTCAGGTGGACTGTAAGTTTGTTTGTTACTTCGATTCCATAAAAAAAATCATTGTGGCTTCAACTTTTGGAGACCTCCGATCTAGCTGGGCTGCATTAGTAACTTATCCTCAGGTGGACTGTAAGTTTGTTTGTTACTTCGATTCCATAAAAAAATCATTGTGGCTTCAACTTTTGGAGACCTCCGATCTAGCTGGGCTGCATTAGTAACTTATCCTCAGGTGGACTGTAAGTTTGTTTGTTACTTCGATTCCATAAAAAAATCATTGTGGCTTCAACTTTTGGAGACCTCCGATCTAGCTGGGCTGCATTAGTAACTTATCCTCAGGTGGACTGTAAGTTTGTTTGTTACTTCGATTCCATAAAAAAAATCATTGTGGCTTCAACTTTTGGAGACCTCCGATCTAGCTGGGCTGCATTAGTAACTTATCCTCAGGTGGACTGTAAGTTTGTTTGTTACTTCGATTCCATAAAAAAATCATTGTGGTTTCAACTTTTGGAGACCTCCGATCTAGCTGGGCTGCATTAGTAACTTATCCTCAGGTGGACTGTAAGTTTGTTTGTTACTTCGATTCCATAAAAAAATCATTGTGGCTTCAACTTTTGGAGACCTCCGATCTAGCTGGGCTGCATTAGTAACTTATCCTCAGGTGGACTGTAAGTTTGTTTGTTACTTCGATTCCATAAAAAAAATCATTGTGGTTTCAACTTTTGGAGACCTCCGATCTAGCTGGGCTGCATTAGTAACTTATCCTCAGGTGGACTGTAAGTTTGTTTGTTACTTCGATTCCATAAAAAAATCATTGTGGTTTCAACTTTTGGAGACCTCCGATCTAGCTGGGCTGCATTAGTAACTTATCCTCAGGTGGACTGTAAGTTTGTTTGTTACTTCGATTCCATAAAAAAATCATTGTGGCTTCAACTTTTGGAGACCTCCGATCTAGCTGGGCTGCATTAGTAACTTATCCTCAGGTGGACTGTAAGTTTGTTTGTTACTTCGATTCCATAAAAAAAATCATTGTGGCTTCAACTTTTGGAGACCTCCGATCTAGCTGGGCTGCATTAGTAACTTATCCTCAGGTGGACTGTAAGTTTGTTTGTTACTTCGATTCCATAAAAAAAATCATTATGGCTTCAACTTTTGGAGACCTCCGATCTAGCTGGGCTGCATTAGTAACTTATCCTCAGGTGGACTGTAAGTTTGTTTGTTACTTCGATTCCATAAAAAAAATCATTGTGGCTTCAACTTTTGGAGACCTCCGATCTAGCTGGGCTGCATTAGTAACTTATCCTCAGGTGGACTGTAAGTTTGTTTGTTACTTCGATTCCATAAAAAAATCATTGTGGCTTCAACTTTTGGAGACCTCCGATCTAGCTGGGCTGCATTAGTAACTTATCCTCAGGTGGACTGTAAGTTTGTTTGTTACTTCGATTCCATAAAAAAATCATTGTGGCTTCAACTTTTGGAGACCTCCGATCTAGCTGGGCTGCATTAGTAACTTATCCTCAGGTGGACTGTAAGTTTGTTTGTTACTTCGATTCCATAAAAAAAATCATTGTGGCTTCAACTTTTGGAGACCTCCGATCTAGCTGGGCTGCATTAGTAACTTATCCTCAGGTGGACTGTAAGTTTGTTTGTTACTTCGATTCCATAAAAAAAATCATTGTGGCTTCAACTTTTGGAGACCTCCGATCTAGCTGGGCTGCATTAGTAACTTATCCTCAGGTGGACTGTAAGTTTGTTTGTTACTTCGATTCCATAAAAAAATCATTGTGGCTTCAACTTTTGGAGACCTCCGATCTAGCTGGGCTGCATTAGTAACTTATCCTCAGGTGGACTGTAAGTTTGTTTGTTACTTCGATTCCATAAAAAAAATCATTGTGGCTTCAACTTTTGGAGACCTCCGATCTAGCTGGGCTGCATTAGTAACTTATCCTCAGGTGGACTGTAAGTTTGTTTGTTACTTCGATTCCATAAAAAAAATCATTGTGGCTTCAACTTTTGGAGACCTCCGATCTAGCTGGGCTGCATTAGTAACTTATCCTCAGGTGGACTGTAAGTTTGTTTGTTACTTCGATTCCATAAAAAAAATCATTGTGGCTTCAACTTTTGGAGACCTCCGATCTAGCTGGGCTGCATTAGTAACTTATCCTCAGGTGGACTGTAAGTTTGTTTGTTACTTCGATTCCATAAAAAAATCATTGTGGCTTCAACTTTTGGAGACCTCCGATCTAGCTGGGCTGCATTAGTAACTTATCCTCAGGTGGACTGTAAGTTTGTTTGTTACTTCGATTCCATAAAAAAATCATTGTGGCTTCAACTTTTGGAGACCTCCGATCTAGCTGGGCTGCATTAGTAACTTATACTCAGGTGGACTGTAAGTTTGTTTGTTACTTCGATTCCTCTGATCTAGCTGGGCTGCGTTAGCCACTTATACTCAGGTGGACTGTAAGTTTGTTTGTTACTTCGATTCCTCTGATCTAGCTGGGCTGCGTTAACCACTTATACTCAGGTGGACTGTAAGTTTGTTTGTTACTTCGATTCCTCTGATCTAGCTGGGCTGCGTTAGCCACTTATACTCAGGTGGACTGTAAGTTTGTTTGTTACTTCGATTCCTCTGATCTAGCTGGGCTGCGTTAGCCACTTATCCTCAGGTGGACTGTAAGTTTGTTTGTTACTTCGATTCCTCTGATCTAGCTGGGCTGCACTAACCACTTATACTCAGGTGGACTGTAAGTTTGTTTGTTACTTCGATTCCTCTGATCTAGCTGGGCTCGTTAGCCACTTATACTCAGGTGGACTGTAAGTTTGTTTGTTACTTCGATTCCTCTGATCTAGCTGGGCTGCGTTAGCCACTTATACTCAGGTGGACTGTAAGTTTGTTTGTTACTTCGATTCCTCTGATCTAGCTGGGCTGCGTTAGCCACTTATACTCAGGTGGACTGTAAGTTTGTTTGTTACTTCGATTCCTCTGATCTAGCTGGGCTGCGTTAGCCACTTATACTCAGGTGGACTGTAAGTTTGTTTGTTACTTCGATTCCATAAAAAAATCATTGTGGCTTCAACTTTTTGGAGACCTCCGATCTAGCTGGGCTGCGTTAGCCACTTATACTCAGGTGGACTGTAAGTTTGTTTGTTACTTCGATTCCATAAAAACAATTTACTGTAAAGATTAGATTTAAAAAAAATAGAGTAACTTCAATAACTTATTATATGTAAATCAACTAAAATATTTTGAATCTTCACAGATCGAAAGTATTTTGTTTGAAACCACAAAATCAAGTCGAACGTATTTTTATTACTTATCATATATAAGTCAATAATTATCATATTATTGACTGCGTCGTTGGTCTAGTGGTTGTAGTAGTGCGACTGCTGATCATGAGGTATTGGGTTCGAATCCCGCGTCGAGCCAAAAAACTAATTATTGAGTTTTGTCAGTCAGGAAACTCACAGTAGTTGCCCGGAGTCAGGAAGTTGACGGTGTCTCACCCTCGTGCCTCGGAAAGCACGTAAAGCCGTTGGTCCTGCGCCTGATCTCTCGCCGGTCGTGTCGGTTTACCATTCCATCGTACAATGAGAGTGAGGGAATAGAGAGTGCACCTGTGCTTGCGCATACACTTGGGCATTATAATCCTGTCCTGCGCCGATGGCTAGCCTTCGCTGAGGCAGGCTGCCGTGGCCGAAATTTGGTCTGGAGGACATTTTTACTTATCATATTAGTGCGAAAATATTTTCAATTTTATTTCTTTGTTTCAGAATTGAATGCGGTTAAAATAGTGAAAATAGTAGTGCCAGAAATAATACAGTACGGTGTGCAGGACGCTGTGATTCTAGACTGTGACTATATTTACGGGACTGGTTGTGAAGTGGTTTTTCAGAAACAAAGCCAGACCTGTCTACCAATGGATCGTGTCGCAAAAAGCCACAGGAAATGGGGATATTGAGAGGTCGTGTTTACTTAGCCTACAGAGCATCAAGCGATCCATTAAAAATGCACAGAGCACTCCGCATAGTGAAGTCCAACACCGACATCTCTGGTGATTACACGTGTGTCGTTTCAACATTCATGGAAGAGGATTCAAGAACGAAGCAAATGATTGTTTTTGGTAAGTTACTTTGTTAAGCTCGTTAAAATATGTCAAATATTTGAACAAAACCACACGGATGATGTAGCTATTTGCGTTGAAATTTAAACTTAACTATTGAACTTAATGATTTGTTACATTTACGCAAACACTGCACATTTAACTAAAACTAGATTTTACTGAATTTATTAACTAATATATATTATCGAAGTTTTGAGTACATTGCATCACCCAGAATAATTCTAGGTAGTTCGTTCAGATCATTCAGTTACTAAGTAAGTAACTGAATGATCTGAACCAACTTACTTACTTAAGTACTTATTTTATAGTAAAATATAAAATAAGTTAATATAGGTACGCGATGAAATCCGTAAAATCTAATTTTGTTTAAATGTGTACTTTGTGTTCGCGTAAACATAATAAATTAATATTAAAACAAATCGTTCTTATGACGTTGCTCTTCATCAACGGGTCTGAGTTTTTTTTTTATCACGATTAAATCAAAAATGCCTAACAATAGTCCCAGCTGAATCAGAACTTAAAATCTCCGAAATATCCTTCACCGCAGAGCAAGGAGTAAATCAGCGCTTAAAATTGCAAATATCAATTTGATTGACGCCGGCAGAGATCGAATCCGAGTTGCTGATGATATTATATTGTAGTCCTCGTTTTTATTCATTCCCTTAATAGAAAAATATATTGGGTACGTTAATATTGATCGTAATTTAAAAACAATCTTGATTGGACAGGCCATTTGTAAAGATAAGCTGGCCTGCTTCATTTCCCCCGACTGCCTTACGAATGCCTTAAGCGTAAAAGGAGATGCGTAGCAAATAGCAAATTCTCTATTAAGTGACTTCAAATCTAAAAAAAAACTACTTTAGAAAGTATACTCCTAAATAGAAATATACTGTAAAATATTTTCCTATTATATTTTTTTAAAATCACATTTTAAGTTAATGCTCATGTAACCTTCATTTTAAATGATATAACTTATATATTATGTCATCCCTACACGTCTTCCCCATTGAACGCCTCAGTTGAAAGATCTAGAGGCTGCGGTTGGCAGAGTGGCCATGACCGGTGATCAACCGATCACGGTAACCTCTGTATATCTTTCTGGGAATAAGAAAGTGCTTAAGTGTGACTTTGAGGCACAAAATCGGAGACCGGGGTCGGTCACGGGGGCGGACTGAGATGTTCAACGTCCAGATGTCACAGATAACCGCAGTTACCACAGATTAAAAATATTAATTTTTGTTTCGATCGACGCAGTATGGACTTATAGTATGTTGAAGTCTTGCACTTGTATGCTTGGGTAGGGATCTAATTTTATTAAATATAGGATAGGATAGGGAGCAGCAATCTACTAACATTACGGTGGCTAGTGAAGTGGCTACTGCAGCACCGGGATACCTGCAACTAACTTCAAATGAAGAAGGCTACAGACGCCTTGTAATCATGGTGGTGTACATTTTTGGCACTTTAGTGGGCGGATATGTTTAGTGTGATTGAAACAAAAATATATTTTAAATTTGAACAACAAGCTTACGATAGAATGAGAAACATATTTCTAATAAGAATTCAGTGCTTGGAAATCGACCCATAAATTCGCTTGTGTACTGAGATTACCCAAGGCCAATCAGGCGGTTATGTAGACTAAGATGGAATGCCTTAACTGTTATTACCTTAACCTGTAATTTTACCGGCTCTGTCTCTATTACCTTCTGGAACATGAAACGTGGATGAACCCGAGTGCAACTTGACCATTTCACTGTCTCGTAAGTCACACTCATATAAATATGAACATTTCGATCGTTTAACTCTTGTGTTTTTTCGCTGACAGGGAAACTGTTAAAATCATAAAACTTTTAGCGCTCTGAACGTAAAATTAAATTTTGTACAACGTAAGTAATGATCTTGTATTAATCGTACTGAAATTTAAGCAGTGAAAATCCAACTCAAATTTCATTTAGTAGTTACTCGACATTTCTTGAGAAGGGTTAAGCGATATCGTATATTAGGCCCGATATGGGTGAAGTGTTTGAAATATAATTTAGCAAATTGTCCGCCTTTGAATTATATATAGAATACTATCCTGTTCATTCATCCAAATTCCATCTGGCTACGGAACGGTTACAGCTTTTGTTCGAAGTTTAAAATCGATTGCTTTAGTATTAGTAGGTTTAATTTATTAGGAGATTCGAAATGAAGCACATTGAGAAAATAAAGTTACAATTTTCAAATAAAACCTTTTAGAAAGTAACTAAGGATTTATTTATTTGACAAAAATAAAACAAAAAAAGAAGAAAAATTAAACAGTTCTTTACGTTAATTAAGAATACATGAACGATATTGTTTCTTTTTAATGTTTTTAAAAACATGCGATAATTTTTTGTGACCATTTAATTAGTGTAAAATTGCTCAATAACAGCAGTTAGCTCAGTATCAGGACGCTTCATATTTCATAACACAATCAGATTTTTTTTTATAGAATAAAGTTGACAAACGAGCACACAGTCCATCTGATGATAAGTAGATGCTGTATATATGATTCAAAATGCAGATGTGTTGTCACCCCTGAGGACTAAGACGGAATGCCTTGTTTTCAGTAAAAACTTGTATTCCATGAGAGAGTAGTTCTACCCTAGTAAAGCCGACCCATTCGTGTTACAATCATAATGTTACTGTAGCGTGGCTCTACCACTTATATTCGATCATTGGAACAAATTAATCTCAAATTGAAACGCAATGTTTTACAACGTTCTAACCAATAAATATGTTGTGTGACAATTGGCATGGCTTATAATACAAGTTATTGTTGTATTGCACCAATGGGCACGGGGGCGACATAGGTCGCTTTAACTAGGAGCCTGCCAATAATGGTGCATGTGATCTATAGTGAGATGACTGTTTTTCTTTAACTATCCTTTAAGGAAATATATGTACATATATTATCCTTTAAGCAAAGTAAAATACAAATTAAAGTATTTAAAAAAAAAAGCGGAAAATGACGGGAATTGAATCACCGCAATAGATGACTATTACTGACAATAGATATTTGACACATAGCCGGAATATGTGTTTTGACTGTTGAGCGGATAAGGAACTTTAACATGATGATTAATACTAGGATCTAATAGAAAAACGCATTATCTAATTAAAATTAAAGTTTATATACAATTTCTATCGTTGAATGTTTCTAATAACTGCAATTTCAGTTTGGTTTGAAAAGATTTTGGTTTTTATTGCCCCTCTTCACAAAAACATAATTTGGAAAATCTTGGTTATAGAAGCATTCACGTCCTTTCACCGTAATAGTTCATGGCATTGTGTTCTACAAATTGTTTTCAAAAATATTTTCTAAGGTTTCGGTGTTTTATGCCCAAATACACGCTGCTCAATTTTAGAATGTGATTGTAACACCACGAGACGTTATCTGTGACCAATTTCATACAAAGGAAGCTACAGATGCGTTATCACCTCTGAGGACGGAGACAAAATTCCGCACAGACTGGAATTGTAGGTACTGGCTCTGTACCATACAGAGGAGCTGTCCAGACTTTGGTTGGAGGTATAAATAACTAAGGTCACCCTTACTCATAGCTGTTTTAAACGAAGATGACGTGTGGTGGTGGTGTAAGAGAATTCATTACCCCATTTCCTTTTGTTCGTAAAAAGGCCATGAAAAATTCAATAAGTATAACAATCTCGCTTACCATAAACGTTTAGTCCTCGAGATGAAGACTGCAGTAGGGCAACCCGTGCTACGATTGCTATTTCATGTAGACTTTACGGATTGACAAAGAAGAATAATTCTGAACAAACCATGTAGCAGTGTGTAAGAATATTCAGTTTCGTGGATGTCAACAGAGGGAATAAAACAAAAGATGGGCATAAACGTCCTAATAAAAATTATAATTTTTTTATAGTATAAGGGTGACAAACGAGCACACAGACCACCTGCTGATAAGTGGTTGCTGTGGCCAATAAACATCCATATCTATCCTCGATTAAGAATCAAAATGCAGAAGCTTTGTCACCCGTGAGGGCTAAGATGGCATTCCATCTTTTCCAGTCCATAGGACCATCAGTTCCAATAAATAGGGTCTCCGGTTCTCTACACTCACCATACGAAACACAGCACCATTAAGCTGCTATTTTATGGTATTCTGTGAGAGCGTGGTCCAACCCCGGTCAAGCCGACCCGTTCACAATCACAACCACAATATAGCTGCAGCATGGGTCTACCACGTAACACGTAAACAATAAAATCTTTAAACATATAGTGCTAGCGTTAGCCTGCCCATCTGATAAGCGTGGCAAATATGGAAAAATGTTTTGACAATCTATGGGAGGGTCTATGTTCAGCCGCGGACGTTCATGCTTTAAATGATGGATGATAACTTCTGAACACTTTCGAAAGCTGTCCACTGAAGAAAAGTTTTGGAATATTTTTAAACAGGTGGCTTATAAGTTTAAAGCACACGAGAGTATTGTTACAAATAGCGAGTGGAATTTGGCAAGCACTGCACTTTTAAACTCATTCAAGTAAAGCTTAAGCTTTTTCTTGAAATGGTTAACAGAAGCAGCAGATTTAGAGTACGAAATCGCTAAACTAGCTGTAACATAAGGCGTTTCTCTAAGCTATAAATTTTCAGTGTCTCTTCCATTTTAGATGTTATTTGTACATTTATTTTATTTTATTATATTTCATGTATAAAAATCAAACTTTTTCGTGCATCAAGTATAATATCTGCTTATTCATCTTAAATAAAATACAGATGGACTGGAGCAGTGTGGCAGATAAATTGCTCATTATTTTGCAGAAATGAAAGAGCTATAAAGCAACGTCCCACGCTGATCAAACCTGTGGTCAACGGAGGGACGTATTAGGTTGTTACTCCTTTTTTCTATACAATGTATATAATAAGTAGTCCCGAATAACAGAAAAATAAATTCACTGAATATGAAATAGACGTTAATTTAAACCACAGGCGCATATTTATAAAAAAGGTGCTGGCAGAAGAATTTTGCATTACTTAAAAATATAGTTCACATCTTTTTAGTTTATCCTGATATTTATAATTTTTTAAATCTCCTGACTGGAGTTTCTTACTTATTGCTAAGCAACTGCACTAACGGAGCCCGCGAATTCTAATAAATTAATTAATAAATTTACCTAATAGAATAACAAAAATATCCAGATTCGGATCGAATAATTTTGGTATGTGGGACTCCAAAAAAATTCATCGTCTTGTCAGGATTATAGAAGAGACTACGTAACCTTTCATTCTCATGATTAGAGACAAAATCAAAAATAAAATATAACAATAAATTTTGTATCATTTATAGTTACAGCAAACGACGGTGTTACGTATAGATACTTGGTTTGTATCTAAGGAGTATTAAAATTCGCCAAACGTCTTCTTTTCTCTGCAATTTCAATTGCAATATATTGAATTACAAACAAAATAAGACGAGTTCAAAACAAACTACACGAACAATAACCAGGAAAACATAAGCTCGGGCATCAACTGACAATTATTGATAGTTGATAATGAAGTTTTTGCTTTACAAGAAATGGAAATAGTTTATGCTATTCTAACGTTTGATTATGCAATATTTTTGTTTAACCTTACAGAAATTAGCGCTGATATAGTCCAATAAATCGCTTGGATATCTATTCACGAGAGGAATCATATTTTTTATAATATAGAGTAAGGGTGACAAACGAGCTCATAGTCCACCTGATGGTTAGGGGATACCGTGGCCTATAGACATCTTAATTTATTCTCGATTAAGAATCAAAACACAGATGCGTTGCCGCCCCTGGGACTAAGATAGAATACCTCGTTTGAAGAGTCAGGTCTCCGGATCTCTACACTCACTATATGAAACACAGCAGCATTAAGCTGCTATTTTACACTGGTATTCTGTGAGAGCGTGGTCCTTCCTCGGTCGAGCCGACCCATTCGTGCTACAATCATAATATAGCTGCAGCGTGGCTCTACCACGTATAAAAATATAATATATAATAAAAATTATTCGATAGTTAATCAACCAGATGTTTTATTCTTTAGATATTTTATAAATTCTATGCATTGTTCAATTATAATAGGAAAACATGATATGTACTTATTACGCCGAAGATGAAAAATACTTTCGCAAATACCACCAAACTATCCGAAGAGGAACATTAAAGTGGTTTCCGATGTGAACGGAAGCGGGTGTCCGTGCGGTTGTCAATTAGCCTGCTTGTATCAAAAGACTGGCCTGTGGAGAACTATTTTGAATATTATCATTTCAAGGACACGGTATTAAATAAATTAAAAATTTAATCACTGATCAGTATTCATTATATTTTTGTACAGTTATACATTATGGGTAGCATCTACAGTATATAATATACATAAAATGAATTATATATTATAAGAAATCCGACGAAGAAACGGTTTCTAGAAACGGTTTGTTTTCTGCCTAGCAGCCTGTCTGGACCCTCTTACCTATTTATGTCGCTGAAGCGGTCCGGTTCAATATTAAAGATTATATTGGAACCAGATTTTTTTGAGGTTTCAATCGAGTATATCCAACAAACCAATTTTTCTCAATTTATATAAAATTTAATATAGCTTATATCAACTAAACCTGCCTTAATTAAACTGACAACTGAGACTTGAGAATCTAGGATATGGCACTTTATTTAATTATATTATATAGATGATGATAACACATAAAGCCTTAATATACAAAATTAGCTTCTTATGTGTTGTGCTTAGGTAATCTAAACTAAACAACCTGAACAAGCTACTAAATAGTTCTTCACATGTTTTCTCTGATTTCATTGTGTCTGATTCTAGTTGTTGTTATGCTGACCTAATAATAGTTATAATTAAATAATAATAATATATTGGGTTCCATAAATATATATATATATATATATAATATATATATATATATATATATATATATATATATATATATATATATATATATATATATATATATATATATATATATATATATATATATATATTGCTATATATTTATGGAACCCAACCAAATGAGAAAACCATATAGATACCCCAAATAATATAACATAATAATCGTTATTTGCAAGAATATGGTTGTACAATGGTGTTCGAGTATAATTTTAAATATAAGTCTGGCGATTTTATTCAGCAGAGTGTTAAACTACGATTTTTTAAACGTTAACCTGTAAGGTTGTGCTAGGATTTTTCCTGAGTCACGGAGGCAGTTTACATAAATAAATTGCATAAGGACAAACAAACATTCTGAACCAAAACAATTACTTGTAAGTAATACAAACACTTATTCCGAGCGGGATTAGAATCCGCGCCCCTCAGGGCCACGGATTTTTATTATTCTTACTTCTCATTTGAAAGATACCGTTGCTCATCTTCTGTTTCCATCTGTTGCCTTGTACGACGCACATGAGATTATATAGGATAGTGATTCACCATAGTATACCGCCACCACAAGGCACTAGTCTTATTTATACGTGGTAGGGCCACGCTGCATCTATATTATACTCGAAACACGAATGGGTTGGCATGACTAGGAAAGGACCCCGCTTTCACATAATACCAGCGTAGAATAGCAGCACAATGCTGCCGTGTTTCGTATGGTGAGTGTAGAGATCCGGAGACCCTTTTTACTGGATACGAGCTTTTCCATCTTAGTTCTCAGGTCTGAAAACGCATCTGCATTTTCGGACGACAGCATCCACTTACCATCAGGTGGACTTTGTGTCCGCTTGTCATATTATTCTAAAAAAATAATTCAAACACAATTGTAATATTTGAAAAATAATTACGTTATTCGCCAGCTGGAGCATTCTTGAAAGGAAATATATCTAGTAGTGGTCTTAAAAAACAGCTAATGTGATAAAAGTGAAGAGAAACTGTAAACTACAAAAATAACTTTCATCAAAGTGCGAGTATAAAATAAGGAAAAAATTGCTTCGAGAAACTTAATAATATGCGAGAGAAGTTTGTCATCTTAGCACGCGCCTGTTTTTGACAGTTCATTAACCATCACCTGCCATCTTAAAAAAATATCCTTAGAAGTGTCATGTTTCAGTACCAGAGACGAACTTCCGCCTGATCCAGAACAAGACTGACAATGATACTGTGAACGTCATATGTGCTGCGGACGGAGCGTTTCCTGCGCCAAACCTCACGCTAGCCACACCAAAAAGGTACGTTACTTTTATATTATTTTGTAGTGTAGTTTGAACATAACAACACCATCTTGCCCAACATAAGATTATTAACATTTTTAAAGTATTTTATTATTCTTTAAGTATTTGTAAATACGTACACTTTTAACGCTGTTTTGCGAGTTAACAAATCATTTAGGTTGCTCTTAAACCAATAAATTATTTCTATTAGAGACAGGTAAATAATTAGTTTTTCAAAAAATATGTAAAGTTTCGAAAAGTATTTTTATCAAAAAAGAAACGAAATAACAATTAAAATTATTATTATTATTTAAACGTATGAAACTACATAATTACTTCTAATGTGTCCGGGTTGTTTAAAATCGAAGACTTGTTTTAGATGGCTGGAAATCCTTGGGAAGTTCTCTTTTATTCTTTTTTTAAAGTACCTACACACGTCAGGCCTCGTTTCTTTAGCGCATCTACCAATTCAATCGATGTAAAGTAATTGTCAAACGTTACATTGCGATTACTGTTGTGAATGGGTTTCGTCAAGCGAATCACTGCTTGTGACGGAACTAGAAACTTCTTTTCTTCGTTTGTCAAAGTTTCACCATCAGATCCTTTTCCACAATAAATATAGTCATTATAAAAATAGTTAGTCTTAGAATCGCACATACACATCATTTTCAAACCATATTTAGCTGGTTTGTTTGGAATATATATGACAAAAAAAGAACGACCTCTAAATGCTATCAACATTTCATCGATCGTTGCACACTCTCCAATATTGTACAGGGTTTGACAGTTATTTACAAATATTCTGAATATGTTTGAAATTGCAGCCAGCTTATCATTTTGTCTTCTTTCATCTCGGTCAGCCCCATTATCAAACCGTAAGCACAGTAACAGATTCAGAAACCTTTTCTGCGACATTACACATCTGAAAATGTCCCTTCCCGTCCCATCAGTGGCAAATAGGTACTCACAATTTTCGTGGTTGGACTTGAACACAGCTGTATACATAAGAAGACCAAGAAATGCATGCAATTCGACCATATCCATGTCTTGTAGCTCAGGTCGATTATCTCTAATGTACTTTAATCTCAGTTCACCAATTTTCACATTTGTCCATTTCAAAATTTCTTCTAAGATATTTAAACTTATAATTTTCTTCCACAAAGAAAAAGGGTCTTTTTCATAGTGTTCATTCAACCTTAGCTCAGGCACACGAGCTATAATGTTATGTTGACCTGTCCTCACAGCTCTGTTTGGTGGATCTTTTGCCCATTTAAACCGATTTTTCCCATAGAAACATCTAGATAATCTTGACAAAGGTTCGTCACTGTCACTTTCTGAAAGCTGGTTTTCCTGATGTATTACTGGTTGTTCATCTTCAGAAGCACTTGCTTCCGTTTCCGTGTTGTGGTCGCTATGCTCCGGGGCATAATTTTCGGGAACGTCTTCAGCTTCCGATCCACTTGAATCTTCTTGGGCTAACCATTCTACAATTTGGCGATCGACATTAGAATTTACGACTGATAAGACTTTTCTACTTGTACTTGGCACCGCATGTTTATCAACAACCCTCTACGCTTTTTTCTAGGAGGTTCAGGGTTATTCATTGTAAGTAATATCTGAAAATAACCGCAATAAATCAATATGGTGTGATTCCAAAAAAGTTACGTAAGTGGTGACATAAGGTCTGAGAGGCCGCTCGAGAATTTTAAATCGATCTAACTTACCGATTTGAGCCTGGCCGACGCAACTATCCCCCCTCTAGTGCACTGGCGATACTAAACTCGAAGCTACTCAGGCGCTCAAACACGGGAAGTGCGGGGAAGGGGGGTGATATGATATTTCGCTAGCACCGCTCGGCCTGTGAGACCGCACGTCACCAGTTAAAGGTTAATCAAATTAAAACTACGTAAATTACAGTCACACTAAATCTGTACAGTCAAAACAAACTGAAATGGACCGTAACTTAAGGCAATAAGACTTTTAAGAGTGCAGTTTTGTTTGTATTATTACTAATTCGGTCATTCAATAAAAATAAAGAAAAATGAACTTTATTTCAAGCACGTTAAAGTCTTTGCGTTCGTGGATTTGTACTGTGACCACAACATTCTTCCTGAATTAGTATAACTAATTTGATAAATAATCAGTGCATAAAAATATTTAACTAAAAATTCAGTGTATGTATTATGATTATAACATAATATACTAATTGGGGTTTCTGAGGGTGTGCGTTAATTACGTTACTTATTGTATACAGTGTATAGTATAGCCGAGTTATCACATGGAGCGTTGGCTGCAACCCGGGCAGAACACCTTGCCCGGTGGGAGATCTTTCCCTTTTCCTTCCACGATCACACTATTACAATTTTTTAATTTAAATAAATTATTATTATTATTATTTATTCTTAAATATCAAAAAAAAAACGTTGTGACAGGTGACAACTGTCTTATATTTTAACCAAATATTTTAATTAAAATATATTCATATTTTATTCCTGAGATTCCGAAAAATAATGTTTTGTGTAAATAATATATTTCAATATTAATGAATATGTGATAATATATTTACAAGTTCGTTTGCCTGAAGTGATGACACGAAATAACGATGGCCTAATACACCAAGAATATATTTTATTTTGCAACAATAATGCCAGGGAGAACTTTAAAGAAATATTAAATGAGAAAATAGAACAACGTCAAAATAACAAAATCAATGCTAACTACACTTCTTCTGATCCCAAGAAAACAACGAATGGCGCGTTTTTATTGAGACGCTTGAGCGTTTTACTGAGATTGTCACCAAAAGAAGCTTTGAAACCATCAACTGTAAGCGGTTATAGTTGTAGGTCACTTCAAGATGCAACGCCTGGTGATGCATCGTACACAATATTAATATTAGATTGCTTCAAGGCGATAAACAAAGCTCGAGAACTAGGTTTTTCTTTTAATTTTCAAGATTTTGATTTATACTAAATTATAGACTTTTGAGTGCTGTAGATATATTTTTACATTTTTAATTTTTTACTTTTTCTATGAATATTATCGCTCCGATTTAGGGAATGCAATCTCGAGATCTCGTCCATATTTTGTGAGACTGAGTCTCGTTAAATTTTTGTACGAGCTCTCGCGACATTGCGAGATTATTTCCTTTCAAGAGGAGCTACAAGAATCGTTGACATTGACAGCATTGAAAAAGCCCAATCGTTCAAAAAATTCTGCAAATTCATTGGGGATACTCATTAAAAAAAGAGATGAATTTGTATGAAGCTGGAGGGGTTAAAGGTGAACAGCTTCAGCCAACTGAAGGAGTTCACCTTTAACCATCCAACATCGTACAAATACACAACTGTTTGTCGACTGTGGTTCCGACTAGTGTAGAGGCAGAAAGAGCATTTTCGGCCCCGGGGTACTTGGCCTGTAAAATCAGGAGTCGTCTATCAGATGAAATCCTTGTTATGCTGTATTTTTTGAGAAGCCACTTTCAAAAATAACTTATCCTTTTAATAACACTGTCAAATAATTCTTACATATCCTTAAAAATTACAAATGCTGCAGAAGGCTGAATAAGTGTTACATTTCGAATTATTTCGAAGTGTTTTTTTGTTTTATTTTAAGTTTTTTGTTCATAATACTGCAGAAGGCTGATTTAGTGTTATATTTTGAAGTTTTTTTTATTTTTATTTTAAGTATTTTGTTCTTAATACAGCAGAAGGCTGATTTTTGTTATATTTCGAAGTGTTCTTTTTGTTTTTTTTTTTTTGAGTTTTTTGTTCTTAACACTGCAGAAGGCTGATCTTTGTTATATTTCGAAGTGTTCTTTTTGTTTTATTTTAATTTTTTTGCCCTTAATACTGCAGATGCAGAAGGCTGATTTTCAGTTTATATAATAACAATAAGACTGACGAATATTATAACGTAATATTGTGTTTTATTTTAAAATAAATGATTATAATATGCCAATTACATGTATGTTTTATTTTTATCTTATATATTGAAAATCAATAAACAGAAATAATAGTATTAGCGAATGTTTTTAGTAAAAATACCCAATTGGGCGAGATCTCGGAAAACTCGTAAATAAAAAAATCTCGGCTAAGTCTAAAATCTCGCGAGATTGCATTCCCTAGCTCCGATACATTCACAGCCGGATTTCCTGCGGTATCAAAATTGTACCGACGGTAGGCTGTTTAAAGGTAAAAAAGGGATTAAATATACACATTAAACGATGCCATTGTAAAAGTATTTCGGCTTCACACCGTACCGTAGAAATTCATGACTCTTCTGGTAATATACCTAATGACACAAATTCTTCACTTTTTTCGGAACAATACAAAATAATACAATTTGTATAGTAACGTACCAGTGGGTAAAAGAATTCCCAGAGGTGCGAGGATGCAACTTGCTAAAGCATTATCATTCACTATTCAAAATTGTCTAACGAATTGTGAAAAGAGTTGGCAAAAAATTATTTACTTTCGCGTATTCCCATTTTCATTTTAATACAACAATAAATAAAACAATTACGTCTGAACTAAAAGAAAATTCTTTGCAAAATGTAGATTACCCGATTAATACTCATTTCTCTCGACCTTATTCTAAATTTGATTTAAAAAAAGTAGTTGAATCAAAAGTAATAGACGGCGACTTAAAAAATGCATCCCGTATTCCATTCTCAGATGACATCCTCGCGCATCGTAATGTCGAAACTCTTGAAGGCCTTCGTCAGAAACATCCTTCGGTCAATCCTTCCCAGAGATTTGGATTGGATTGGATTTGGGGGAGTGTCCAGAAAAAATTATTTCAAAATTTCTACAGTCAACAAAATCAGGCCTGCCTTCTAGCTGTTTCGACTAAGGAATTTAGCCACTGGTTACGTGCTCTACCATCAAGTAATCTCGGCACATTGCTTGATGGGGAAACCTTGCGTATCGCCGTAGGAATCCGGCTAGGAGTGGCAATTTGTCAACCTCACCAGTGTCCCTGTGGTAGCACCGTCGATGAGTTTGGGCTCCACGGACTTTCATGCAAGAAAAGTGCAGGTAGGTTTTCCCGTCACGGTTTTTTGAACGAAATCATCCGAAGGGCTCTTGTCTCCATAAATGTCCCCTCGGTTTTAGAGCCTTGCGGGATATTTAGAGACGATGGCAGGAGACCCGACGGTATGACTTTGGTCCCTTGGGAGAGAGGTAAGGCCCTAGTGTGGGATGCTACTTGCGTGACACTTTGGCGGCCTCTCATCTCAAGGGTACCTCTTTTAGAGCCGGGGCGGCATCAGAGGCAACCGAATTTAGTAAATGGCGCAAATATGAGTCTTTGAGAAATGACTTCATATTTGTGCCATTTGCTATAGAGACTATCGGTCCGTGGGGTCCGCGTGCAGTGAAGTTTCTAAAGGAACTGTATCCACGACTGGTCGTCGCTGCTGGTGATAAGAGGGCTGGTTCTTTCCTCGCTCAAAGGCTAAGTATAGCTATTCAGCGAGGAAACGCAGCCAGCGTTCTTGGCACTATTACACGGGGAGCAGGTCTTTTTGACTATTAAAATTTTTAGTTTTAGATTTTCTTCTTAGTTATAGTTTCTTCTTTTTATATTGTATATAATTAGTTTTAATCATAAATATTATAATTTTAATTATTATTTTAGTTAAGTTCATTATTATAATTTTTGTAATATATTTTGAATTATAATATTTAATCTGCGTTGATCTATATAAAAAAATCTTAAATATTATTAGTAACATTGGATTAGATTATTCATGTTAGATTCAATTTGATAAAAAGGACATTGATATATTCCTACGCGATCCAAACAGCCGCTCGCGCTCGATACTCACTTTGAGCGACTGCTGAATACATCGTTCAATTAATCTGTGGTCTGACTATTTTTTATTCAAAATTTTATATAATAACTAAGCAGTAAATTAACTTTCAGCTATAATAAACTCTTACAAAGACTTCACTATGGCGATAACTTATGTGGCATGCTGCCTCGCCACGTTCCACAGTAATGTAGTCGAGACCACTTTTCCACGCATTTTTGTACTATAAACTAGTTTACTGCCAATTTTCAACTATTACAAAACACTTGTAGAGCATGGTGTATTTTACATACATCAAAACTTGCCACCGCCGGATATACCACCACCTGACCTTGCGAGTGGGTGCTAACTCATGTACACACTTTTTTTTTAACATGGGGAAATGCCTACGCATACCCGCCTCGCGGGGGCAAGGACGGGTTATGTCGGATTCGCACCGAATAAAACCCCATGGTGTTCCACCTTCATCGCATATTGGCAGGGCTACGGGAACGCTTTCGCACACTTCCGCGGCCCTACCAGCGACTGCCGCCCCATGGCAGCACCTCCTCGGGAGAGGAATATTCCTCCCCGTTCTCCTTCCCAAGTAAGGCGCACCAGAACACATGGCACGCCTTCCTCCACGGCCTCCAATTACATCTGCGCAACAGACGCCCCCGCGTCCGATGCGCGAAGGCCATGGGGCCAGGAAAAACGAGCACTTAGAAGTACTAGCCTTCCCGACCCCAGCGGCGGATCTGGTCTGTGGCTCCGCCGCCAACCAAGATTCGGCTGCGGAGGATAGGGAGAGCGGCGCCTCGCAATACCGACAATCCTCTCCCCCCACAGCCCCATCACCACCGCATCTACGGTGCGGCCCCGTTTGAGTCGCGGAGGATAGGGCGAGTGGCGCATCGCCATACCAACACTCCTCTTCCTCCGCGACTCCACCTCGGCTGCAGCGGTAGAGGGTGCGGAGTCCCTACTCGCTGCAGTCCACCAGCACATCCGAAGTGGGCTCCCCAAGCCCACTCGGAGTGGTTACCTCAGGCCGGCCCTTCACCTCGGGCCAGCCACTTGGGTTCCTCTTTGTTCACCGTGGGAGACCAAGCCACGGCTACTAAGCCCCCCGCCACGACAAGGCGGGAACCCGTTCGGGGGGAAACTCATGTACACCCTCAATACTAAATCTTGAATTATGGGCCATTACAAAACTCTTGCCAATTTTTGTCGCCAGCTATTAGACTATTTCATAAGAAGTTGTGATGATATAAATGATAACTGTATTTACAAAAATATGAATGGGCATGAAAAATCCATCAGTATTAATTACATTTTTGGGAGCCTTATTGAAAAATTTGCGAAAACTTTTAAGTATAACTATATCATATGTATTTTTTTTCTTAATAGCACATTAAATTCTACTACTGGATTTGGGCGTTACTCGTTGTAGGCAGGATATGCCTTAACCCTCACAGTACCAGAATTTTCACACCTTTGACGCTGCTTCTCCTCGCAGGTTATATTGCCATCTAATGGAAGCTACTTACCACTTCTTACCATTTTCGCCGCCAGGTGGTAGTGTTTACACTGCAGTCTTCTGGACTGAACCTTTCTTTTTTGATGTGGGCTACCGGGATCCATGAACTGCAATAGCTCCTTAACATTGGGTAGGTTATGTACTTGTCACTAATGTGCTGATTTACAATGTTTTGAATGAAACGATTCTTTCTCAGACATGCTGGTTTCCTCACGATGTTTTCCTTCACCGAAAAGCACGTTTACCACGTGCACGTATAATTGCATTAACTATTTCATTTGTGCCGGCGGGGCCCAAACCTGGTTGCTCACTGGGTTGTAGGCCGTACAAATACTTGTTTCGTGCGGGATTCAACCCGCAGCCCTCAGCGCTGCAACTCTTTGCTAATCCTTTGCGCCACGGAGCCACTTAAGGTGACTTAGTTATTTGACTTGCTGTAGCTATATGAAATTATAACCATATGGTGCTCTTAATGTTTTCCATATTCTATAATGTTTGGTAAGTGACAGACACATTAAATAACAACTTTTTTGAATTGAGGCATGACCATATTAGGGTGTTCGCTGGCAAACTGTCATATCTACTCAGATTCAGGTAGGTTCAATTCCGTGAGCGGTAAGAGCATTTGAAAGACACACTACGTTAGATGGGACTAGACTCGTATAATGGCGCCAGAAAAGTTGTTAGGTACGTAGCTTTCAATACAGCTCCTTTACTGGGCGAATTGTATGAGTTCAACTACCTTGATGCGTTGTTCAACGCTAAATGAGACAGTTCAAATAGAGAGTTTTATATAATTTAACAAGAAATCGGAAAATGCTGATAGTAAGATTCATTTTGGAATTCTTCTTTTGATATTCAATTGATATTTCGTTAGTAATATTAAAAAAGAAACAAGATTTTACGCACAATTACATATTTGTGAGCAACGAAAATGGATCGGTAACTAGGAACGAAAGCTAGAAAAATAAATAAAAAAGATAATATTTTTCAATCATATTTTGAAATCTCAGTAATGGGAAAAACAAACACAAAGTATGCTTAAAATCACAATATATTGTTTTTTAAATAAACAGACCAGTTAGTTCTTTTTTTTTGTAAATAAAGATTACCTACGCATTTTTTGTACATTTTACGACAATACCAAACGTTCTACTCTCCACAGTTACTTAAAAAAACGCCAGCAGTAAATTAAAATACAATATCAATGCGTTAACAATGCCACCTACATTGAAAGTGCTCTTAAAGTCTCTCGGAGTTAATTTTATGGTCATTTAGTTTATTTTTCTACCCATTACGGCACAACACTTTGCAGCTTGCAAAGTAAGGCGGCAGTTTCATAGCAATTCGTAAGGTTTTATTTTTTATTTTTCATTAAATTATTAAATAGTAGCAAAACTTATTTAATGAGGAAATCGGTGTTTTTTATTTAGGATAACCTATAAGACATATTATGTTATTAATTACGTTACAATGCTTCTGGGATTACAAATGTCTTCGTTATTAATTTACCACGGCCAGCATAGTGAGAGAACTAATTTTAAATAACAATAAAGTATTAACAATATTTTTTTCAAAATTCACGATACCATGCTCACCATCTGGATGCTTGACAGTCTACCACTATACATCAGGTGAGCCGCATGCTCATTTGACTCATCTTCTATAAAAAAAGGGTGTCTAAGGGTGTTGCGGGAGGCGCGCGGGCGGTTTGACACAGTACGTGCTCGTGCTCCCCCG